AACACGCAGAGCTTTTATTTATAAACAGATAGAATTTTCTGATGACGAGTGGCTCATCAGCTGTTTTGAGGAAAAATCATTTTTTAGTTTGGCACTGCTGAGCTCTGGGAGCGCGACGCAGCAAGTAGCTGCGTGCGCCGCACGTGCAGCAGCAGCGGTTGAACTGGGGTTCCACAGGAGCTTTCCAGWGGGAGCTGGCAGACCCACCAGGACTGTGCCAGTCCAGTCCACCCAAAGCAGAGTCATGACCAATGGAATCGTCTCATCCATATGACTCTAAAGGCTGAGTTATGGTCGCGCTCTGGAGCGTGTGCACCTTCGCTGGCAGTGGAGGTGTTTCATACTTTGCGTTTACGTTGTTGTAGATTTCTCCAAAATGACATGTGGAAGTACACTTTACAACTGTGAAAATGCTGTAAGAAGGAGAGCAAAAACTTGACAGACAAACAGATTGTGCACAAAGGCTGCGGCGCGCGCAGCATTTGTGGAGACTCTCCAACATCACGTCATTGTCATGAACTCTCTACTGAGGCGCTGAGACTCGTTTCTTAATATCAGTTATTAAATAAACTAAGATCTATGTTCTACCAAACATCTGTTCCTCTGTGTTTACAGTAATTATGATAATAAACTCCTGCGCAAAGTTAATATTTTCGGACTCGGAATGGATGGATGAGCCGGTTGCGCAACACAGCAGCGTGTGCGCACACACACACACAGACACACAATTACTCGTTCTTTGCGTGATAAACATATTTTATTCCTATTTTTACTTAGGATTTTTTTCTCACTCACTATATTTAATTCATTATTTTTATGACATTAGAAATCGTTTCTGATCGTGCAGGGATCACTCAAACGTGTCCTTCACACATGCAGGAAGTAATTTGCATCTGTTTAACATATGTTAATGAAGGCGTGTCAGGGGAGGTGTCTTACCTGCGCTCAGTTCCACGTTAATTGGGATGTACAAAAGAAATGTGCGTGGATTCAGGCGTACGCACAGTTTACATCTGGATTTTTTTGTGCGTTTGCCGTTTTCTGGATTTGACCGTACGTCAGGTTTCAGTAAGAAATCCACGCAAGTCTTTGTACATGAGGCCCCTGGTGTATTTTCATCCTGCAGGTTTTATTCTGTGCTCCTGACTGGACTCAACACACCAACCCTCTGTAGATAATCTGACTCCAATCATCTGTTTTTAATCATCTTGAAGTTGTGGTTTCTGTTGAAGTTGTGTCAGATCGTTTATTTTTATTGTGTTTATCAGGACCAACCTTTGGGCAACTGGAGAATAAAGAGGCAGGTTGATGATGAGGAGGAGATCATCTACAAGTTCTCCCCAAAGTTTGTCCTGAAGTCTGGGCGGACCGTCACGGTGAGTTTAAACTGACACAATGTTTTGTTTTTATGATCATCAGACCCTCCACTCCTGTTTGTTCTGATTGATGAGGAAAAGATCAACAAACATTTATGGCTTTTCCCTGAGCTGTTTCAGATTCTGTTTGTGTGATTTCTCCTCCCAGGTGTGGTCTGCTGATGCTGGAGTTGCCCACAGTCCACCCACTGATCTGCTGTGGAAGAGCCAGGCTAACTGGGGCACAGGAATTGTCATTGTGACCTCTCTGATTAATGCTGACGGAGAGGTAAGAATCCAACTGTCCTTTATTCAAATAGAAACATGAGTTTTAATTAATATCATACACCAGTTGAAGGACAGATATATTATTTCATAGTTTGTTCTCTTGTCTAGACCATAACTTTGAATCAGCTCAATATAATTGAACTGAACCTGATCCACATCCTGTATTTAGCAATGTGATAAATCAAACAGAAAAAAATTGTATAGGTCTTCTGGACGGGTTCTTCTCTAATGAAACGTTTCGTCTCTCCTCCAAGAGACTTCTTCAGTCTGAGAGTTTCAGGCAAAATTCAGGCTTTTAAGCACTGCCTCCATGTGACTGATACTCACATCACATGGCTTTACCCAAGTGAGGACAAGGTGAGGGATGTCATCATGGAGGCGGATGAAACTATGGTCTCTTGATGTTACATCGCTC